TTCCTGCTAACCTTCCGCCCTCCTTATAGTACGCGTTTAAAGTCTAGAAATATATTTATATACGTTATTATAAGATTGTATAAGGTATAGTTGAAATAGATTACTCTAACGCCTTAATTGCGGATTTAATTTCTAACGCTATTAAAAGCGAACCTTCTAGTACCTTAGCTATAAACCCTAATACCCTAAATCCCGTCCTAATTGCGGATATTGTTACCGAAGCTCTTAAGCGGATTAAGCTTATTATTTACCGTATTGTGGCCGGCTAGCGAAGATCCGACCCTTACTACTACGTTATAATACGTAAGATATATTTTTCGAACGAATTAATTAACCTTATAAATATTAAGGATATAACGGCCGTTAACTTTAATTAATTATACGAGAAGTATTATTTATAGGTATTCTATATTTTGTACGTAAAGTTCTATAAGATTTTAGAAGAGGCTAAGGCGGAGGAGGAAGTTTGGGCTAAAGAGGTAGAGGGGGGCGCTTTAGAATTTAAGGAATATAAAAATAATAAAGGCGTCGTTAATAAAAGGGTAAGGATAGGAATTAAATATGATTATAATTATAATTATAATATATTTAACGGTTTGGCGAACTTTACCCTAGAAATAGAATAAGAGATTTAGGACGGTAACGGCGCTAAATATAAGAAATTATTAAGTAAATGTTATTATTTATAAATTAACGCTTATGCTAGTAAAGGATTTAAAATTGCTATCCGAGTAATAAAGATCGTTAAATATATTTATTTTAACGGTAATGTAAACGAGGATTTTAAATATTACGAAGCTATTAGATTCGCCGCTAATATTATAGAGGAAGACGTGGCTAAATTTTATAAAAAGGCTGATAAATTATTTAAAACCGACGCCTAGATTAAAGAAAAATTTCCTAAATAATATTAGAATTATTTTAATATTTTTAAACCTTGTAATGTAACGGTCTTACCCCTCTACCGCTCTTATAATTTTAAGATTGAGCTTTACCCGGGAGAATAAACGCCTTATACGAAATTAAGGGCGTTTAACCCCGACGAATTAAACGTTATTAAAAAGTAGATCGACGAGAATTTCTGTAATAGGTTTATTTATCCCTCGTAATTAGAAGCCGTTTCTTAAATTTTATTAATATAGAAGCTAAGTGGAGGTATTAGAATTTATATAAATTATAGGAGGATTAATAATATTATTTTTAAAAGCCGTTACCCGTTCCCTTTAATTAAAGAAACCCTTAACGCTATTTATAAAGTAAAAATTTTTACTAAATTAAATATTATCGCCGCTTTTAATTGTATTCGTATTGCGGAAGGATACGAATAATTAATAGCGTTTATTACCTACTTTAATTTATTTAAATTATTAATCTATCTATTCAGCCTATAAAAAATATTTAATATATTTTAAAATTACGTTAATGATATCTTATATAATATCCTAAATATTTATATAACCGCTTATTTAAATAATATCCTCATTTTTTCGAATAACGAGGAAAAGTATTAGAAATATATAAATAATATTCTTACCTACTTAGAAAAGGCTAGCCTATAAATTAATATCGATAAGTACGAATTTTATACTAAAAAAACCAAATATTTTAAATTAATTATTATACCCGGTAGTATCGAAATAGATTTAATAAAGGTCAAAGTTATTATAAACTAGCAACCCCCAATATTAAAGAAGTTTTTATAAAGTTTTTTAAGATTTACCAATTTCTATCGTCGTTTTATTAAAGGTTTTTTAATAATAGTGGTACTATTATACGACCTTATAAAAAAGGACGCGGAATAATTATAGATTATAGTATAATAATCCGCTTTTAAAACCCTAAAGGTTACGTTTACTAGCGGATTAATTTTACGGATTTATAATTAGTTTAAGAAGATAGTCGTTAAGACCGATATTTCGAATTAGGTTTCTAGAGGTACCCTTTCTTAATATGGAAATAATAGTGAACTTTACTTAATTGCGTACTTTTTAGTACGGTATTCAATAGCGGAGTATAATTATAATATTTATAATAAAGAATTCTTTATTATTGTTAAAGCTTTAAAAGAGTAGCGCTTAAAATTGGAAGGCGCTTAATAACCCTTTAATATTATTACGGATTATAAGAATTTAAAGATTTTTATAATAAATAAATAGTTTATACCCCGCTATATATGGTAATTATAATTTCTATTATAATTTAATTTTTCGATCCTCTATATATTAAAATTATAAAATCTTTACTCCAATATACTAAATAAAAAACTAGAAGATATACTTCTAAATATAAATAATTATCGTTTAAAGGTAAAAAACTGTAAATTTATCGACTCTACCCGTTTTAAGGAGGGTTACTTTACCCTATTAATTATAGTTACTAGCGACCTCGATTTTAATGAAGAAATATTTATATTATTGTTAAATACTTTAGAAGAGCCGGATAAATTAATTAATAATATTATTAACGAAAATTATAATTAATTAACCTTAATATAAAAAGCTATTAATTGTTTAAAGGACCTAAATTGTATTAAATAGCGCCCCTATATTAAAAAGAAATTTAAAATTGTTTTCGCCGAATATTTTATAGCGGGAAGTAAAGTTTACTATAAAAGGAGGGTATTTATCGACCTTAATAATACTGCTACCTATTTATTATTAATTTATTACGTTTATTCGTTATTAATAATCGGCTATTTAGGAAGGGATAAAATATAAATATAAATAAACGAATATTAATACTAATTAAGTATAGCGGAGGCTATTAGGGCTTATTATAAAAAATATTTAATATATTTTAAAATAAAGGTATTACGATAAATTAAAGTAAATTACTTTAAATTTATATTAATGGCTTACGTATTATAGACTAATATATCGGTCGATTACGTTTCTTCTTTACTGGAAAACTTTTATTTAAATTAGAAATTTAAATATATTATTATTGTCGTAGACTGTTTAATAAAAATATATTACTATATCCCGACCGTTATTATAGAAGTAGAAGAATTAGCGGACTGTTTTATTAACTGTATTTATACCTTTTACAATCTATTTAATACCGTTGTTTCTAACCGCGGTATTTAATTTATATTTTTATTTTAATTTACGATTTATAAACGTTTAATTATAAAGAAATTATTAAGTTCCGCTTTCTACTTATAAATTAACGTTCAAATAGAACGTATTAATGTAAAAATAGAATAATATTTACGTATTTTCGTTAATTAAGTATAAATAGATTAGGTATAATAGCTACTACTAATGGAATTTGTAAGAAATAATATAATATTATTAATTACGGGCGTAACCCCCTTTTTTATTAACTATAGTTTTTACCCCTATATAAGTATCGAATTTATAGCGGTTATATTATTAAAAAGTTTCTTACTAATATAATAAAAAGAGTACTTAAAGGTTAGCGAATTGTTCGCTCGTTTCGAAGCTATTTAAGACTACGTCCGTACTTTTACGAAGAAGGTATAGGATTGGTACGAAGTTAATGCTAACGAGAATCGGTCTAATATACTGAAATATTGTATTAGTAATTTCGTTTTATTTAATATAATTAATTTTAATAACGGTAAGTTATATAATAAATTATATTTACGATAGGAAGGCCCTTTTAAAATAAATTAGGTACGATTTTATAATATTAAATTAAATTTACCCATTAATATAAAATATTCGTTAATATTCTACGTTTTTATAATAAAACTTTATTATAAAGGCCTCTTTAATTAAGCCGATTTATAAGGCGATATATAAATTAATAAAGGTAGAGTTATAATTAGAATAAATAATTATAAGGAAGTAATGGAATAGGAATTTAACAAACTTTTAAATTATTTCTAACGAGGAGGTAATTATTATTAGTTCTATATTATAAAGTAAAAATATTATAACCCTACCGATAAACCCTTCGATAACGTTAAGGGAATAAGGGATTCTATTATTACGTTTTATTACGATTATTTAGATACCCCTATCCTACTAGCGGTTTAAAACTAGCTAGAAATTAAAATTATACTTTAAGAGCGGACTTTAGTCCCGAAGTAAAGGGCCCTAGTACTGGCCTAAGTACTTTAAATACGCTATACGGCGTCGCCTGTACTTTAAATACGCTATACGGCGTCCTTAGCCCCGTCCTTGAGACGTTCTAAGCGTATTGCCGACTTAAAGGAGTAAATTAATGCCGCCGTAGTAGTTATTACAATTGGCCGTGAGGTATGGACAATTATGACCGATATACGGGAGCTTACGATTGAAGTAGTAAGCCGGGAGTTTGAGCCCTTATCCGAGGAGGATTTAAGGAAAATGGATGAGTTCTTTTGTAAGGTGTTTAGGAGGGTAGCGGAAGTTTGGTAGGGAAAGCGGCCCTTGATAAGGAATGTAGAAGTATAATTGGAGGTTAGAATTTATTAGTAGGGAAATAACGATAATGTAGCTGCTTAATCGCGGATCGTAGGCGTTTAATTATGGATCGAGGAGTTGGAAGACGGGGATTGAAATAAAATTCTATTATTTTATATATATATATTAAATAAATTGTTTGAAGCTCTATAAATTTCTTTTATAGAGAGGTAGTATTATAGGATTACTTGTAATAGTACTATTAGGTATTGCGTATACGATTAGGCATAGCTAGTCGTACCTATTGGCTATTAGCTAATAGGATTGTATATATGTATTAGTAGGCCTCGGTCTAGATTTAGGCACGGTATAGCCTGCCCTATATCCAGACCGCACTCCTTCCTCCTCTCCTTCTTTCCTTCCTCGTACAACTACGTATATCCAACTATACCCCCAACGGTATCATCCCCGTAATATACCCCCCTAACTATACTAGGTAAGGTGCCTAGAAAGCTAGTATAAATAAAGCTATTTATAGTCTTGCTCCCTTTTTCGTATCTCTTCTAGCGGTTACTTTTAAAGGTATTACCCGTTATTAATTCCCCTTTATAGGGAAGGTCGATAATAATAATTTTTAATAACGATCCGGGTCCCGTAGTTTAATAGTTAGAACGTTAGGGTCAAATCTTAAATTATTCTTATCGTTTAAATATATTTTATAATATACTTATTAATATTATTAGTAGCCTATAGACTATCCCTAAAGGTCGTAGGTTCGAACCTTGCTAGGATTAATATTTTTGTTCTTTTTCCTCCTTATATAGATTGTATACTATATAGGACCTTCTTAATTTATAGAGGTCATTTCTATTATATTATATAGGTAGGTAATTTATACCTATAATTACCATTTCCTCCCTTTTTATTATTTAATAGAATTTACTCCTCCTAATCCTCTTTACAAATCTTTACAATTAAATAATTCGCTTTTACTTTAAGTAACAGCTTATTTAATTCCTCTTTTACTATTTTAATATTTTAAAGATTTAATTAGTTTATAAATTCCTTATATTTATTAATTAGTAGCGCTTTCGTTAAACTATTAGCAACTATTTCTTTAGTAAGTACGTAGTAAATTTCGAAGAGACTACGCTACTACCCTTCCCTAAACTAGTAATTATAAATATTAATATATTTAAATTTAATTTAAAATTTGGCGTTCTCCTTCGTAATAAAGTGGATCGTCTATTTATTATTATATTTTAAAGGGATAATATCGAATTTAAATTTTACTATAAGAATTTAGAAGAAGTACTTTACCTATATACCTTCCTTTATTCTTTAAGAGAGGAATAGTAGTTCTACTTTAGTAGTAGAAGTCGTAACTATATTTTATTTATTAGCTCGCTAATTTACTATACTTCCAAATAATTATATCGTGAACCCTTGAAAGCTCTTATAATTAAATATATTATCGGCGAAGAACGAATCTATTAATACGTCGAAATTATACCTACCCCCTAGCTACAATACGTAATTTATAGTACTTTTAATAAAGGCTTTAAATTAATTAGTAATATAGTAGTAATAGGGATTAGGGTTAATAAGGAAATGAATTAACCGGGAAATTGTAAATAAGAAATTTAGCCGGATAATAATTACTAAGTAGAAAAGTTCGCTAATAGCCCTCTAATACCGTTTAATTAAATATTAGGGGGTTATTTCTATAGAAAGTATTAATTTTTCTTATATTATAAGGGTATTTAGAGCTTTCTTATTCTATACGAGGTTTTCTATAATCTTTAAAATATATTATCGTTAAAATAATTAAATCAACCGTTTTAACTTATTTCGAAGGATTTCGATACTAAAAAATTATTAAAGATTATAACTACCTATAAGCTAATAGTAGTCTTTAAGTATAGTAATTATTTAATTAGCTAAATTAAAGTATTTTCCCTTATAAGCGATAATAATATTATTAATATAAAAAGAAGATTACTATATTGCGGTAGATATAAATATACGGCTCTATAAGGATAGTTAAGAGGTTAGCCTTTAAGAGGGTTCTAGTAAATTCTTTCTACTATAATAAGGGGGATTTACGTAAATTGTAAAGAGCTTTCAATAGCTTTAATATCTTTCCTTTCTATCCGTATCCTTAGGGCGCCTATATATAAATAAGCTTATTAAAATACGCGTTAACGAAGGTATTAATAGTATTATACTACTTAAATTCGAAATTAAAGTAAATTACGATAGTTATTATAATTTATAAGGAACGGATTGCGAAGGTAGTTACGTACGTATCGTATACGCTATTATATTCCTATTAATCTCCTTGTATAATTAAATAAGCCTTATACTTTAAGAAGAATCTTTTTATATTGAATTTATATATATATACTTATATAGAGTCGAGGGGGACTTTATTATTAATCCTCTATTCGCTTTTATCGACTTATATTTATTGAGTTGGGGCGTTTTGTCAGAATAAATGTTGAGATATTTGTAGAGCTGGGATACTAAGGAGCGGATCTGCTTTAGGGCTAAATAGGGTTGAAAATAGAAAAGTATAAGAAGGATGGCATCCCCTTTCAAACTAGAGATAAGTAAGTAAGAAAGGAATAACGAATTAAATACTAATATTCTTAAAATCTTTGTAATACTCCTTTTTAAAATCTTTAATTATATTTATAAAGTACCTTCTATCTTCTTTAATACCGACCTCTAAATCCGCACCTCGCTATTTTAAAAAAAGTATAGAAGTAAAGCTCTACTTTACCTTCTATCTTTCCTTTTAGTAGTTTTTTTATAGTTGTAATTTAATAACTCTATCCAATTCTACGGATAAAATTATTAGCTCTAGATCTACTCTTCGCTATATAAATTTATATAGTATAGCCCCGTTCCTTTATTAGTGTAGTTTTACTCTATTTTAAATAGTAATAAGGACAAAATAAGTTTTAAACTCCTAACTAAACTAATCAATACGAATTTAAGGAACTTTCGGCCGGAGTTTCTTATAAATATTAAAATTATCCCTAAAGCCTTCGGAACATTAATTTAAAAGCCGAAATTCGAATAGCAAAGAATTAATTAATTTTATTGGCAACGAAATCTTTTACTTAATTTATAAGAAACTTTAATTTCGAATATATACGAATTTCTATTTCCCTAATAATATTGCAATTTATTAGCGGCGGTTAGTAGAAATCCTAATTTAATAATTTAGAAAGAAAATACTAAAATTAAAACGAAGAAAGAAAAAATTAATTTTAATAATAAAATTAAATAAGACCGAACCGGAAAGAATAAGGATAAAACTTTAGAAAGCGAATTTAAACGATAAAGGCCGAAAGTTAATAGGGTAATAGAAATTTATTCTTAATTAATTAACGTTTGGTAATTAAATAATCGCAAATTATACGAAGAATTTATTCTCTAATTAATTAAAATTATTATAGGGTTCTTTATTTTAATAATCCGAACTTTTCTTAATATTTCTAAGAATTTCAGAATATTATTAAAAGAAGTAAAGGCGATTAGTAAAGAGGTAATTAACGGAACCTATTTTTTGGAAAGTTTTGAAATAAAATTATTATAAAATTCTAAAGAGCGACCTAACCTACTAGTAATATTAAAATACCTTTACGAAGAAAATACGGATAAGGAGGAATAAATCTATACTTTACTAAATAACAATATTAATATTATTAATTATTTTAAATATCAATATAATACTATATAATATTTTCACCCTTTTATAACCTACGAATTTATATTATTTAATATATTTAATTTTATTACCTCCTTTAAAGGAATCCCTTTTATTATTTCTCCCCTTATTATTATTTCTTCTACCGCTACTAAAATAATTTTAACGCCGCTATTACCCTTTTCGTTAATAATACTACTTTTATTCGTAATATTATCCTTAAAAAGAAGTTCGATAGTAAAAAGGTCTTTAAATACTTTAAATTATTTAAAGAAAAAGTCGGAATTTATAAATTCGGCGATAATGAATTTAAAATTATTATTTAGTTCTAGTAGTATAAGAAGGACCTTAAAGATATTAGTAAAAGTATTTTCTATAATTTTAAAACGAAAGGGATTTATATTTAAGATAAATTTATTTAGTAATTTAAAATAATTTATAAAACTAAAGACCCTAAATAGATTAATAGTACTTCTTTTATATTAAAGAAATTCTATACTAAATACGTCCTTTACGAGAAAAATAAAATCATTAATACTATTTTTACCTATTCGGCCTTATTAATTCGCTAGTTTACTATAAATTAATATAGTATTAACCGTAATACCGTTAAAAATTTCTATTAGAAATTATATATTAATATTAAATATATGATCACTTCCTTCTTAAAAAAGTATAAAGACGATATTTATACTATAAAATAGACCGAATTCTCCTAAGAGTTAATTAAGTTCGTAATTAAATAGTTTAATAATTTAAATACTAACGAATCTAATAATATTAATAATAGTAAAGAGGAAATTTCTATTAAGAAGAATAAATGTAAAAATAAGTAAATTATTAATATAAATTCCTCTTCTTTATTATTTAAAGAAAAAATTTCTATAAAGGTCTCTATTAAAAAGATTAGGATTAAGGTTAAAATTATAGTTAGGAGCGGATCCGGTACTATTGAAAATACTATAGAAAAATTGGCCCGGTTAATAGAATAATTTATAATCGCCTAGAATGCTATTATTAACTATTAATTCTAATAAGCTACTATCCTTAATATTCCCCCTTAACCTATTACTTACTAACTAACTTAAATTTTAAATACTTATATTAACGCTATTTAAACTAGTTAAAATATATTTATTAGAAGTAGAAATAAAGGCTATAGAAAATAGGGAAGAATAGGTCCGTAGTAGTATTATTATTACGGAAAGACGGGGTATTACCTTACTATTTATCCCGAAAAAAATATTAATACCTATTATAATATTTTAATTTAGAAATTATATAATAAGGAGAAGTCTATACTTCCTATTATTTATAAGGGAACTATATTAAATTATAACGACTTTATTAATAAGAATTTCTTTAATTACGTTTATAATATTAATATTTTTAGTAAGTTAATCCGCTCCTTTATAACCTTAAGTCCCGAATATATTAATTATAAGGATTTTAAGAGGTAGGAGTTTAATTATTAGTAGTAGAAGGATATTAAAAATCCATTATTTATTTCGTTTTTCGAAGTTTTTTTAAACTTTAAGGGTATTAAAATATACTAGAATTAAATCCAGGCCTAGAAGAGATCCGGAACTACTATTAATTATAATATAACGGAAGTATTTAATAAATTGTATAAACTTTCGTCTTTAGCTAGCGATTAAGTAATTAGTACTTATACTATTTAAACCCGGCTAATTATTTTTATTCGGGTTAAAGAGGTTATTAATAATAAAGAGTAGATTTATACCCTTTAGAAGACTACTATTATAGCCGCTAGTAAATTAAAGAGGCTTCGGATAGAAGACGTTGTTCAAGGATCTACGATTATACCCCCTTTTTTTCGTCCCTCTATATTAGGGGATGCTAATACTATACTTAAATAATCTAGTACAATTTTCGAAGATAAAACTTGCGTATACGAATTTATTCCTACCCTTATATTAATACCGATAATACCAATAATAAAAATAATATTAAAGAAAGTTTTTTTTATAATAAAGGAGGATAATATTAATTAATTCCCTACCAAAGAGGCCAAAATTAAAGATACTATTTCGGAAATAAAGGAATAGAACCCTA